TTTGTGATGATATGATATTGTATCTAGAGGACCCCAAATATTCAACCAAGAACTCCTGGAACTGATCAATGATTAGTAAAGTCTCAGGATACAAACTCAATAACCAGAAATCAGAGCATTCATATACGCAACAACAATCTATTGAGAACCAAATCAAAGACTCAATTCCTCACAATAGCAACAAAGAAATTAAGTACTAGGAACATATTCAACCAGAGACGTAAAAGACCTCTACAGGAGAACTATGAAACACTGAGGAAGGAAATAGCAGAGGATGTAAACAGATGGAAATCATACCATGCTCGTGATCGCAGACTCAATAATCAAAATGTCTATACTACCCAAGCTGATCTACAGATTCAATGCAATACCTATTAAAATCCCATCAGCATTCTTCACAGATATAGAAAAAATAATTTTACGCTTCGTATGAACCAAGAAGACCCGAATATCAAGAGCAATTCTAGGCAACAAAACAAAATGGAGGCATTAATATGCCAGATATCAAACTATACTACAAAGCTGTAGAATTAATCAATCTGTATTGGCACAAAATAGGATATGGACCAGTGGAACAGATGTGAGAACCTGATATAAAACCATCCTCATATAGCCATCTAATCTTTGACAAAGCAGAAACATATGTGGGGAAAAGAATCCCTTTTCAATTAATGGTGTGGAACTGGATAGCCACCTGTAGAAGGCTAAAACAGGACCCACACCTTTCACCTCTCACAAAAACCAATCCCGCTGGATAACAGACTTAAACCTAAGTATGAAACTATTATAACTCTAGAGGAAAAAGTTGGAAACACTTCCTAACATCGGCCTGGGCAAAGAGTTTATGTAGAAGTCCCAAAGGCAATACAGCAGCAACAAAATAAGTAAATGGACATGATAAACTACAAAGCTTCTGCACAGCCAAAGAAATAGTCATGAAAGTAAACAGACAACCTACAGAATGGAGAAAATTTTGCATCCTATGCATCCGACAAGGGACTGATTACTAGAAATATACTTAGAACTCATGAAAATCAGCAAAAAAATCAAATAAACCATTAAAAAGTGGGCAAAGGACTTGAACAGAAACTTTCTAAAGAAGACAGAAGAATGCAACAAACATATGAAAAAATTCAACATCTCTCATCATCAGGATAAATACAAATCAAAACCACAATGAGATATCACTTAACCCCATTGAGAATGGCCGTATCAAAAAATCTCCAAACAATAAATGCTGGCGTGATGCGGAGAGGAGAGGAACACTCCTACACTGCTGTGGACTGCAAACTAGTTCAACTCTGTGGAAAGCAATATGGAGATACCTAAAGATACAAGTGAATCTCCATTTGATCAGTAATCCCATTGCTGGCATACTACCAAATGATCCAATGACACTCTACAAAAAAGACACCTGCATCGAATGTTTATAGCAGCACAATTCATAATTGCAGGCTGTGGAAACAGCCAAGTGCCCATCAATCCAAGAATGGATTAATACAATGTGGTATATGTATACCATGGAGTACTATTCAGCCTAAGAAACAATGGTGATATAGCACATCTTATATTTTCTGGTTAGAGCTGGAACCCATACTACTAAGTGAAGATATCCCAGAATGGAAAAAAGCACCAGATAATTCTCCAGCAAACTGGTATTAACTGAGTAGCACCTAAGTGGACACATAGGTACTACAGTAATAGGGTATTGGCAGGTGGGGGGGAGGGGGGCGGTATATACATACATAATGAGTGAGATGTGCACATCTGGGGATGTCATGATGGAGAACTCAGACTTGTGGGGGGAGGGGGGGAAATGGGCATTTATTGAAACCTTAAAATCTGTACCCCCATAATATGCCGAAATAAAAAAAAAGAATTTGGAGATACCTCAAACAGCTAGAAATAGTAATACCATTCGACCCAGCAATATCATTGTTGGGCATCTACCCAAAAGAGCATAAGACATTCTATTATAAAGACATCTGCACCCGAATGTTCATAGCAGCGCAAGTCACTATTGCATGGTCATGGAAACAACCTAAGTGCCCGTAAATTCATGAGTGGATAATTAAAATGTGGTATATACTCATAATGGAATATTACTCAATTCTAAGAAACAACAGTGAAGTAGCACCGTTTATGCTATCCTGGATTAAGCTTCAGCCCGTTATCCAAAGTGAGGTGACACAAGATATAGAAAATGGGCTCTACATCTACTCGCCATAAAATTGGTACTGACTGATTAAAACTATGGTTCTTAAATGGCGGTAGTGTTCACCAGGGATTGGGTCGGGGGAGGCCCACATCTTAGGGATGTCGTGAGCATTGTGGGGGTAAGGGCATACCTCTAACCCTTCATAGGGAGAGGCAAAGATATACAATGCAACCAAAATGTCACAAAACAAAAAAACTTTTATCAGGTGGTGGGCAAGTGGGAGGGGGGAGGAGGGGAAGGGTGTGTACTTATATAATGTGTGCGGTGTACACAACCTGGGGGTTGGACACGCTTGAATCTCTGGCACGTGGAGGTGGGAGGGGTGGCAGGGACAATATATGTAACCCTAACAATATATGTACCCCCATAATATAATGAAATAAAAGGGAAAAAATAAAATAAAATTTGCCTTACCTCATGGCATATGCTGTAAATTTTATAAAAATCAACCAGGCTTTTTTATGTTTAAATTAAAATAGATAAATATAAATGAATAAATTTCATTTAGGTAGTAGCAACGAGTTAATAATCCTTTTAAGAAAGAAACTATTTCATTTCCATCCCTTAGATTCATCATAAATGCAATTCATAAATGATATTAGAACCTGTAGAGTCTCCCAATTTCCCCTTATTTCTTTCTGTGTCCTGACTAAAAAATCAGAGTCCCTTGAGCCCTCTGTGGACCCAACCAGCTGCAGGTTTTTCCCAGTAGGCTTGAACCCAAACCTGGGCCTGGAATAGTCCCAGGCACTTATCTAGGTTGTTGCCCCAAATTCTTTAAACCCTCATATAAACTCCATAACCTGACCCCATGCTATAGGCATACCTAGGTAGAACATGCCTTTTCTCTCACTGTTCATCATGATGATTGCTGCAACACCTGTAAGTTCCCCTAATAAGTGCTTTGGACTGATTATCCTGGCATTTATTGCTTCTTTCTTTGGAATCTCAGCCAACCCCATCTTAGGAGAGTTTGGGGAACTCTCTTATGGGAACTCCCCTGCCACTGCTTTTGGGACAACTCCAGCTGCAAGTTCGGCAAGACAAAATAGAATCTCATCAAAAGTATAAATTTGTCAAATTTAGAAAATTTCAAATTTGAATACTCAAATATTCTTTGAATAC